ATACACCAAAGTGCCAGGGTCCCTGGCACTGGGAAGACTCTTTTGCAGTCCCCTGTGCTTCAGCCCCGACACAGTCAAGGCAGGCGGGGCACCTCCTCAGAGCTGCGTGGGGTCTCCCACGGGGCAGAGCGAGCGGGAGTCTTGCTGGCGGGAGAAACCACCGAGCTGTCCCTTCTGTCATCATCATCCTGGTCCACGCCAAGGAACCCACAGTCAGTCCGTTTCAGTGATTACGGTGGAAACTTAGGGGCATTTCGTATCTAATCACAGAGTCCCAGGGTCCAATGCATGGCCCCATGCAATCAGAAAGCTAAAGGCTTAAGGGGCCCCTTGAACTTAAATGCCAAGTTCACTCTCCCCTGGAAGAATCAAGTTGTTTGGTGTCTCCGCTGCTTTTGTTTCCCTCCGATCCTGCCCTGCAAGCAGCCTCACTATTTGTAGGCTGGAGTCCCCCTAAAGTTTGGGCCCTGGTCTTACTTAAGATGGAACCCACGGTGCTTCATCTCGAGCTGCCAAAACAGCGGGTAGCAGGGAAGCCCTGCTGTCTCCTTGCTAGTTCACGTATCAAAGCGACTGAAGCTGAGAAGCAAAGGAGAGCCTGGGAGATGAGGCGGCAGTGCGGGGGAGGCGGTACCTAGGACATGGCCTTGATTACCAAAGCCAGACACAGGCCATAAATCGCCATCCTGCCAAAAGCTTGAAGGGTGTCCTAGGGCTGCATCCTTTTCAGCTTCTTGCTCAGCAATGAAAGCAACCTGATAAATGTTTCCAAGGTAATGCTAGATTTCATCCAACAAAATCACTGTTCAAACACGACCATGCATTTTTATAAAGGTGACCTTACATGTCTTATACGCGTGCATGACTAACATTACAGAGTAACGACTATCAGAAGACAGGGCAGGAGGAATTCGAGTTATTCACTTTATCGCTCAGGTCAAATGCAGTTCACCTGCTCGTTTCGACAGCACAGCGTAGTTTTGGGAAATGCACGCAAAGTGGAATTTAAATGGAGCTGGTTGAATGGACTTAGCAGCCTCCTCCTTTGGGGAGGAATCTGTCCATACTAATTCTTGCTACTTACACTTCCCTTCTGCCGGCTGCATGGCATTCTTTGTCAATTCCAGCACATTTGACAATCAACGTTACTTATTCCATTAATAGCCAACTCAGTGGCACAAACAGACACAGGAGAAGCCGTGTGACCATCAAATTACCAGCTAGTTCAGTAAAGTAATTCACACTGCAGATACCTGTGTGTAACCTGAGTTCCCCGTAAACTGGACATGGTCTCCTCCAGATTCTGCCGCAGGTCGGCAATGTTCTTCACTGTCCGCAGTCGCCGGGCCTCGGGGTCTTCCCCTGGAAAGATGAGGGTTAGGACACTTTAATTCCCAGCCAGATGGTGAACTTCATGGGAGCAGGAATTGTGTCCGTGATGTAACTGTGGCCCACGCTCAGGGCCTGGCTCACCACGGGTGCTTCAGAAGGATTTGAGAATGCATGAATGGATGGATGAATGCACGCATGCCCAAAGGAGAGTGTTAAATCCAAGGACAGAAGTGCTGCTTCTCCCTCTAAATCCCTCCGAAAATAAGTGATGTCTAACTCGTGGGAGAAGCATAGAAACTAGCCTGAGACGTAAATACACTGTCACACTGATTCCAATACAGACACGCGCACGTGAGGTCCGATTCCCAGGAGCGTTTTCAGCCCAGGTGAAAGTGGGTGAGGCATTTTGTTTTCTCACCCATCGGTGACACACACTGCTGTCTACAGGTCCTACGTGACAAAGGGACTTGGCGAGGCTAAGAGATCTGTGCTTATTCATCACAAACATGTCTACTGAGAGAGGTCTGCCTTTTCTTTATTATGTTGTCTTAAATTCTGGCTCTTCTACTCACCGGCTGTGGTATCATGGGGAAGGTGCCGACCCTCTCCATCCTCCTGATGCCGCCACCGTACAGTGAGGACAGTAGCGGAACTGACTTTGAAGGACCACCGTGGGGACTAAATGGCACAGGGTTGGGGATCCCGGGTCACAGTGCCCACCACCAGCTTCAACTCATGCCCATGCCCGTTGGTGCTGCAGAGCAGGGAGCCACTGGGAAGACTCAGGGCCTCGCTTTGGGAGACAAGGGACTTCCGTTCTCTGGGCACGATTTTCCACAAAGTACGTGGCCCCGGAGGGGTCAAGCTGGCACGGATGTCCCAGGAGATGCAGGCCACACAAGGCAGAAGCCATGTGCTCTCTCACAGTAAGCAGCCTTGCTTCAGCGCTCTGGCTGTTATAATTTGTTTGGGAAAGAGAAACAGGGGAATGACCACATAACAACGAGAGGGACCAAACATCTTTCCCTCAGAGAAACTTCAGGGGCCGCTGAGAAGACGGAAGAGCCACGATCAAGGGTCTTTAAACACCTGTGACCATTTCAAGTGTGAAGCAACACTTTTAAAGAAATCTCCATAGAGAACATGTCTACAGGGGCAGCAGCAAGTGGAATCTACATCAGATGCTGAGTAGGACTTCCAGTGTTGTCATTAGCAGAACAACAGGCAGCTAAGAAATGCTATAGGATTAACCTTCTTTCTGAGACAGAAGACAAACTCCTTCAATTGTTCTTAGCACGGTGGTGCCCAGAGGCTGGGGAATGGATTAAATAACAGTTATGTGACTTTACGGAGGAAATTTGCTTTAGCAAACTCTGTATACTTGTATATGCAAGTGTTTTCAATTTTCTCCCTCTTCTTAACCAAGAAAAATTTGGAAGGCATTTTTCCCCTACTCTTATCTGAAAAGTGGTCAAATGTATACTTCCCACCCAATTCTTTAAAATACATCTATGTAGGTATGTGTTTTTGAATGAAAGCAGTGATGGAATGGCCCTGGAGGAATGTAATTGCATCGATCTCCCGGGCCATAGTGAAACATCTGCTGCTGCCGGCGTGGCCACATTTCATCTAAGTAAGGCTGCCAACAAAGGTAAGATCCTACGGACAGCTCTAGGCCCTGTAGCCAACATTTATTATGAAACTAATGACCTTCATTAATTAGCTTAATCACACACAATAAGTCTAATAATTATCGATCCATGTCCCTATTAATGGCATGGTTACTTGTGCTAACTCTCCTTCAGAAATTCAAAGATCTTTGAGACGGGATGGCATCTCCCCTTTGCATTCAGTAGCCCCCACACATATCTATTGATGCCCAAGAAATATTTATTGTCCAAAAGACGTTTGGCCAGTGCAGGGCTAAAGAAAGAGCGTGGGCTTTGCATTCCGGGAGATAAAGGTCTGAATTGTGGCATGGCTGCAGATTAGCCACTTGACCTTGGACAAGTCACCTATTCTCTCCAAAGGACATCTGTGAAATGGGGATAAAATCCTTCCTTTCGAAGGGTAGGAGGGGGATCAGATGAGATGACACATAAGATATGCCTGGCACACAATGAGGGCTCGTTGGATTCTACTGTCCTGGTTCCCCCTTGGGGGCGTCTGGGGGTTCTGCTGGGAAACGTGCGCTTCCCGCACAGCCCTATACACACCAGATTCCAAGAGCGACACAGAAATGCAAACTAGTAAAATCACTTGCTCTGCTTAGGGGGTCATGTTCTGAACTGTCAATTCTGCCTCCTTGGAAGATGCCTGAGTGTAAGATTCTCCCCAGCTCTCAGAACAAACAAAGTAATAATATACCTGGTAGCCATGCTCTAGTGTAGAGAGCAGGATCCTTTCAGCCCATGTAAAGAGATCATAAAAATTAAGCTATTTCACATTTACCTGTGCCTTTTGCAGCCCTCCCTCAAGTAATTGGCCATGATGGAGAGAACTCCGCACATTCTGACCCAATAGGGCTGTGTTTAGAGATGTCGGGTGAGGGTGTTGAACATGGAAAGAACCTGGGATTCTTACTTGGAAGAGGAAGGCTTAAGGGACAAGCTGCTACATGGCAAAGATCGACATTGTCTGGGGGTTTTAGGAAGCTGGATTCTATCCAGGGATTAGAAATGTAAGAATAAAGAACCCTGTTACCCATTAAAGCCACAAAATATGGAAAGGCTGCTTTATGACGAATAATCTTCCCGTCACAGGAAATACCCAAGCAGAACCTGAAAGAGGAGTCATCAGTGAGTGACAGCAGGGACTCAGAGGCTGGATAGTAAACGAACAGGAGTGCGTGGTTCCTCCAAATTCTGCAATCCAAGATGTGGTCTTAACTGTAAGGCTATGTACCTGACAAAGCACCTCGGGAAAATCCATCTATTTGCATAAGCCCGGGGAAGAACTAAGCAACTGATCAAACAGCCTCATAAAAGCCCATTCCTAAATAAACGCACCGTTCATTTTCATTTCAAGGGATCAGTTATGGAAAAGTTAAATTCAACCCTGTTGCCACCAGGCAGCATCTCCACAAAATAATTCACCCCACAGTCACACACGCGAGGAGTCCTACTGCTTGAATGTAAAGACCCATGAAGAACTGTTCATTAGCCACCAGCACCATTTCACTGAACTGGGGAGAGGCTTGCTCAGGCCCGACCGGCTGCACAGGGCTGTTCCCCGAAGCAGCCGACAGCACGCAGGATCTCTGAGCTCTCGGCTGGTTTCACGGTGCCGAGGCAGCAGAGCCTTACGCAGAAGGAGAAAAGCTAGCGATCACAGGCTGCTATTGCATCACATGCTCCAGGATGTGTTATGCAGAATGTTCTCTGGTGGCTGCTTTTTCAAATGAGACTTTTGCTGAACCACATGCCTGACACGCATCCACACTGCTCCTCGGGGCACACATCTGATCCATGCCGGGCTCTGAGGCCTGGCCTCGCTCTGTTGATGTGTGCACATCAGAACACGAGCTGGGATGTGTGCGGAGACCTGAGCAGGCATCTGAGCTCCATACCTTCCCTTGGTCCTTTTCCTGGACTATCTGTCTTTTCCTGGGCTATCTGTGCCCGCCCATGCGTGTAAGGGAGCTACAAACCCCGGAGAAAAGCAAGCAGAATCCATCCCACATGTGGGGCCCCAAATAATTGGAAGATGGATCGCTCACAAACGGCTTGAGCACTCTCTGCCCCATTGCTGTGCCCAGCCGGCAAAACCAGAAGGAAATAGTTAAATCATTCAGATGATCCTCGGAAATTAATCCTCGGAGCTACTGGTGAGATGGGTAAGATTCGATCATATGGGCTGCAGACCAATGCTGCAGCTGGAGTGGCTATTTAAATGATGTGGTCATGGACAGTGAGTCTAATAAATAGATTTCAAACACAGATTCAATAACACAGATTGAATAACACAGATTCAATTTTCAGTGCAACTCTGGAAGTGGTAAGATAGGAGAATAACAGTCACTGCTAAAAGTGCTTACCACTCATTTCCCTGGTTAGAAGTTGCTGGAACCCAGGGCACAGGGGTGGGGAAGAGAGACAGAGGTGGACACCCAGAATGCACTGCAGCAGGCATTCTAACTCAGATGCTAACTTTTCTCCTTTAAATGAAGACTGAAGGTGTAGTGTTAATATTTGTGGAATTAATTCCATGACAATTGTGGATTCTATGTTTTTATAGAATGCCCCTTTAATCATCATGGCCCATGGTCGGCAACCTGCGGCTCGCAAGCCACATGCGGCTCTTCGGCCCCTTGAGTGTGGCTCTTACTAAGGCTTAGGAGTACCCTAATTAAGTTGATAACAATGTACCTACCTATATAGTTTAAGTTTAAAAAATCTGGCTCTCAAAAGAAATTTCAATCGTTGTACTGTTGATATTTGGCTCTGTTGACTAATGAGTTTGCCGACCACTGGTCTACTCTATAGTTAAATAATTTTTTTTTTGTTTTGGTAAAAGCAGCATACTGTAATCTTTCCAGTTAATAGAGGATGCTGAGAACAATGTTCAATCGGTGTTTCCATACAGGAAAGAAAAAAATGAGTTTGCACCACTGGTCTAGGCTATAGTTAAATAATTTTTTTGTTTGTTTGTTTTGGTAAAAGCAGCATACTGTAATCTTTCCAGTTAATAGAGGATGCTGAGAACAATGTTCAATCGGTGTTTCCATACAGGAAAGAAAAAAAAAAGGCAGTATTTTGAGTCCCAACTTTTGTTGGAAAGAGATTTTAAGAGTAAACAAGGTGCTTCAAAGTTCAGTGTCAGAGCAGCCCAGTGCCCCCACACGCATGAAATGGGACGTATCTTAAAAGATGCTTTGCCAACAGGTAAGAGACTTATGTGCAGTTCTAAGGAGGGGGGAACAGACTGTGAGAGACAGAACTGGAAAGAAAGAGAAGAAAAATAATAATAAAAATTATAAACTTGTTTAGCTCCATGGTTGGCAAACCACGGCTCGCGAGCCACATGCGGCTCTTTGGCCGCAGTTTGCTGACCACTGGTTTAGCTCATCGATCAATGCCACAGCAAACCAACTTCGAATCATGCTGGGTTCATGCCCTCCCAGCAGGCGGTCCCACAGGAGGCTGCATTGCCAAGGGACACAGAGTTTCTGGGGCTCCACACTCACCGGTGAGTTCTTCCAGGGCAGGCTGTCCACTCTTGGAGTAGTGGCTGGGCTCCGTGCTCATGCCCGTGGAGCTGGACTCGGCGGTAACATTCCCTTCGGTGTCTGTCTGGGACCTTCACACACAAACCAAAGCAGAGACGCCTGTCACGAGCAGTAACTCCCACGTTTGGACCACTGCGTTCTTTCCACAGCCCCTCCCAATCTCCCCAGCCCCTCCTGCAGCAAGAAGCTTTAGGATGGAGCAGACCAGCAGACTGACGCTAAATAATTCATTTGCGCATGTGGAGCAAAGTCCTAGAAACAGAGAGAGCCACGAAACTGGAAAAGATGAAATATTCATCGCCCAAATGGAGGGTCTGCTCTCCTGCACTGGGGAATGCTCCTCTGGGTCCCCATCAGGGCGCTGGGTCTGGCAGGAAAAATGCTAGAGAGTACTGGGTGGTTTGGACCATTTAGTCAATGCCAGACAGCGACTTCTACGTCACCAGCAACACCAGCAAGTCAAGCATAAGATGACTCCACTGGCAGCCCCCTTCCTCACCCCAACCCACCCCGCCCCATTCCTCCTGGCATGGGCTCTCTGGAAAGGTGACTGTGACACACCAGTCAGGACTTCGTGCCAAGCAGGTGTGTTTGCCCTCCAGGTGTCTGATTCACAGCTCAGATCTGCTGACATGAAAGGTCTCATTGATCATTCTTTCAACATTTGACTGAAATGTGTACTTCCCCAAACCTTCTCCAGGCCCTTATTTGTCAAGCCAATTGAGGCAACAGCTTCATGCAATGTGTGCTTGCCCTGACTACCCCTGTCCATTTAGGGCATGCAAATGTATAGCAGCACTCAGATGCATAACCCCGGGTGTAACATTATTAATTCATTAGCATCCTGAGCTAATTCACAACCAGGCTTCACTGTCTATGAAGAAAGCGTTCGCCAAGAATGAGAACTGTCTTAAATGTGGGGGATGTGCTGATAACCCTCAAGTCATCTATCTAGTCCTCCTCCCTTTGGCCTGGAGCCATCGGTTCCCAGTTCTGGTCATCTCTACCTTCAAAGAGTTTTCATATTCCCAGTGTTCCTCTCCATCTGCTGGCCAGAGCCCCAGCTCTCTTCATCTCTGCCTCGGCCCCATGAGGGCTTTGTAAACAGGTACGCTGCCTCCAGCCCGGGGGCTGTACGTGGCAGCCAGGTGTAGAAACCAACCCACAGATTATGTTCTCATTGGTATGCACACTATTTGAAAGCTTTTGAATTAGTTTCAATATTAAAAAATTGGGAGATTTCACAAGAAATAGCTGGAATTCTGCCTTCCCCAGTAAAAATAAGAAACTCTGGGTTGAATGAGCTCCACCTGCCGGTGACATGTGGTGACTGTTCCATCCAGAGGCCTGGAGTTCCCTCTGCCACAGCCCGGCTCATCCTGAGACTCCCGTCTTTTTATACTGCCTTTGGGGCCCAAGCAGGAGACTGGCTCTATCCTAGGCTGTCCCTAGGCCTGCTCCTCTCCCACACCATCTCCACTGTTCTCTGTGATCTTGTTGTGACCACATCACCCTCTGATCAAAGGCCACCAATGGTTTCCCATTTCCCACAGAATAAGGGCTACACTCCGTACTGCAGTAGAAGGTGCCCTACGTCATGGAAGTCTTCCTTCACTCCCAGCCCCATCTCCTGCCACTCCTGCCCTGTACACACAGGCCTGCCCTCTGCCCCACCCACCCGTGGCTCCTCTCCATCCCCAGATCGTGCCATGCCTTTGGCGGTGTTGTCTCTGTAGTTGTTGTGACCTCTGCCTAAAGGCCCCGCTCCTCTTTCTTCTTTAGTTTGCTCCTAATCTGCCTTTAAGACGCAGTCCCGAGTCATCTTGAGCTGGAAGCCCTCCCTGGCTTAGCCATCAGCCAGATGATCATGCCACCCCGTGTGCATGCCTACAGCATTCCTTATTCTCCCGAGGCCTGCTCGTTACACTCTGATGTAAGTAATAAATCTTTCCTCAACTCGATGGAGAGCTCTGCAGGTGAAGACTGGCTCTTTGACATGTGCCCATAAGAACACCATTTGTTAAGTTCACACACTGAGCAGGTACTCAAGGCAGGATAAATGCATTGAATGAATGAATGAGAAACGTTTACATCTAGATGGTGCTGGGCAGTGGGAAGAACATCACACTTGGGACCTGACCCTATAGCTGGCTTCAGGTCTGGAGTCCGTAACTTGACAGCCATGCACATGGGAGTAAGTCACTTCACCTCTGAAGCCCCGGGCCTGCATCGGTATAGTGGGAACAACAGCGACCTCTCCTGGCTACTACAAAAACCACATGTGGGACGACATAGAAGTGATAGAGGCGTTCACTGTTGCTTCTACATTGATAAATCGAATTCATTCTGAGTGATTCCTAAAATGATTTATCTTCCTTTCATCCCCTGGTAAAGTCACTAACGTGGAGAGGATATGAGGAGAGCCCTGTAGGTTACATACAGCAAGCCATCAACTGCAGAGGGCGATTTAACACATAAAGGAAGTCTGCACCATTTTAAAACCTCTTTGATCGAGTCTCTCTCTCTAGAGATGGAGACAATCAGTCGCAGAGATGCGTGATCTGCAGAGCGGAGACAGTGCAGTGGCCAGCAACGTTCTCTCTCACTGCGCCGAGGGGTTAAACACTAGCTTCCCTGGCTACTAGCTCTGTGACTGAGAGCAAGTTATCTAATTCCTCTAAGCCTCCGCTTGTTCAGCTACAGAACGGGGATTTCAAAAAAGGTAGGCAGCTCATAGAAACGTGGGGATGAAGAAATGAGCCGAGGTATGAAGAGCTCTTAGCCTGGTCTCTGTGCACACGTGGTGCTCACTCAGCGGTGGTTCCTGCGGTCAGTCCCAGGACCACACAGGGTGCGGCAGGAGGGCCAGAGGCCAGGGGTCCTGGCTCCATCTCAGCGCTTTCCTTCCCAGCCTCTGCCTGGCTCCCCTAAAGCGCAAAGGCACCTCGAGGGGCAGAGGGACATCAGACAGGGGAAGCTTAACGTGAGGCCTGACAGATACACAAGGAATTTTCTCCTTCCTCCTACTTGCCAGATGCTTGCTCTTTACCATTAAGAGTGTTTCCTCTCATAAAAAAGCTTGAAATGTTTGCCCTGGCCAGTGTTCTCAGTGGTTAGAGTGCCAGCCTGGGCACCGCAGGGTAAAGGGTTCGATTCCCGGTCAAGGGCACGTGCAGGTTCGATCCCTGGCCCCAGTTGGGCGCATGCAGGGAACAATCAATTGATGTGACTCTCTTATGTCAATATTTCTTTCCCTCTTTCTCTCTCTCCTGCTCTCCTCCCCGCCCCCCCATCTCTCCTTCCCTTCCACTTTCTCTAAAACCCAATGGGGAAAATATCCTCAGGTGAGAATTAACAAAAACAAAACAAAAAAGCTTTAAATTTTTAAAGAAAGGTTAGATGTTTTATAAACTTGTAAATGATTCCAGACCCAAAAAACAGGGGGAATAGGGCTGATGGTGATCAAAGACTGCCATATATTTTAATTTTGAAAACTGTTCAGAGAACAACTGTATTAAAAGCTGTGCGTGCAGACGAGTGCTGAGTCGTTATCTAAGGCTTGGCCCTCTTCTCTGGACTGTTAGCTGAGCTGATGACGTGACTTAATAAAAAGATGACTAGCTCCCAGTTACAAGGTTCAGGCGTGACCCTCAGGCCTGACATTGCCTCACTGGCTGGACCCAGCTGGCTTTACTCTGAAACCACTCCAGGCAGTCTTGCCAGCAGCTATTGGCAGGAGTGCTAACAATCTCCTAGGACACCACTCAGGCAGGGAGACGGGAATGGGCACGAGTCTAAGCCTATGAACGGCTATGTACACACGTGTGCATATGTGCACTGGTATTTTATATACAAATATGTACTTGTGCTCACACTTACGTGTGACTGTTGATGTACTTCCACATACCTATGGGCGTATGAGTGTGTGTGTACAGCTGTGTATGTGTATGTACTTAGGGTGGAAACTATAAAATGGGAGGCTGGGATATGGCATTCAATCATTCAATCCTTAGTCTCCTTTTGCTATGTAGGGGTATCAGTTATCATCCAGCTGTGCAGTGTGGTCAAGGACACGACACGTCCGAAGCTGAGGATCAACTGACTACTGTGAGCACAGCTCTGGGGCTTCCTTAGGATCAGTGCTAGGGGAGCTGGCACCCGCTGGAGAGGACTCCTCCACAGGCACCAAGTAGCGCCCGGCCAGTGTCTGCATCCCGCAAAGGCGTGTGGTGGAGCTGAGCAGCCAGAGGCTCTCACGGGGCCAGAGCCACACAGAGCAGAGCGGGCAGCGCCTGGCTCCACGCATGTTCCTCTGGATGCGCTGCCATCAGCGTCAGAGACCGAGGGACAGATAACAGACAGAAGGACGGTCGGATGCAAACACCCAGGCTTGTCTCCTCAGTACACCCTGGTTCTTTCCTTCTAGAATTGGCCCCACTCACCACTCCCCATCTCCCTCTTCCTGCTCTTTCCTCCGACACCCCAGCACACAGCAGGGACTGGAAACGTGCTTACTCTGTGTGCTGTGGTGAGAAACGGCATCCAGGACCACACCTCTGTGAGGAGAAGCCTCAGCTACTCAGCAGGGTGGCTTCTGGGTTTTTCATTTTTAAAGTACATTCAGGATGGGCTGATGTTGGAGCCTGCTGAGTGACACCAAACCACCCCTCACGCATCTGCTCATGCTGCTGCTGCTTCTGAAATGCACCCATCCACCTACACTCCTACTCATCCTGAGTCAGCTCAGATTTGACCTCCTCTCTTTAGCTTTCTCTGGCCCTCCCCAAGCCCTGCTGTATTCATTGTTCCCTCAAGCGCACTGCTTATACCTCTGTGAGAGCTTATCCCTGGTACCTCAGCTGTTGACCTAAATGTTCCCAGAGGGCAGTCCTGGTTCCTGCCCTCGGTCACCTAGAAGCCACCAGAAAGGCCCCCTTGCCCATGGCCCGGGGAGGGCGTGGCGGCTGCTCCTACCTGTACAGGAACGGCGCGACCGTGGCAGTGTTGGGGTGGCTGTACTGCTGCTGGGGCTGAGGTAGCTGAACACTGACGGTGTTGCTTCCTGTGGTCTGGGTGGTCCCGACGGAGCCGCCGACAGTCTGGCTGCTGATGCTGTGGTTCAGGGTGGTCCCGCCGGGGCCTTTGCCTTCCGAGGACGCCAGGCTGGAGGAGGAACTGGAGTGTCTGCCGTCCAGCTGGGGCTTCTGCTGGGGCAGCCCTGAGCTCGGCTTCCCACCCCGGCTCCGCTCCCCGTCCTTGGAAGGGGCAGGGGCACTTGGGGACTTCCCGGGCATGCTCTTCATGCCTGGTTTTGGTATTCCACTGAGGGAAGGGGCCACGGCCTCCTTCTTGGCACTGCTGAGCTTGCCCCCTTTGGGGATGAAGCTGGCGATCTTGGAGGACTTTTTTGGCATCTCGGTGGCGGCTGCCCCGCTGGGGTCTTCTCTGGGCCCCTCTTTGAGGTCCGGCCTCTCCGTCACAGAGGTTCTCTTGGCAAGGTCCTTGCTTTTCTCCTTTTCCTTCTCCCGCTGCTGTTTCTCCTTTTCCTTCTCGTTGCCTTTCGGGGAACTCTTCTTGGTGGTCAGCGCCCGGCTGAACGTTCTCTGGGCAATGCCCTTGAGTGCGATCTTGGGGCTGCTGGCCGCGGGGCCCGCCGTGGAGAGCGTGCGGCCGGTGGCCTCCATCTCGTCGCTCTCTTCGACGCTGGACAGGATCTCCAGCCGCTCACAGCTCGTGTCCCGGGACCCCGGGCCCTCCCCTGCCTTGGAGCCCCCTTTGCTGTTGAAGAGTTTCAGCTTTTCCAGCATGGACTTCTGGGTGTTGGGCGCTGGCTTCAAGGCTTCGGGGCTGGGCCGGGGGGCCTCGGGCGCGGGCTGCTTGACCGAGAGCATGGACGACGTGGCGCTGTGCTTCACGCTGACGGACTTGCTGCGCCAGGGCTTGGCGGCCGCGCCGGGCTGGGGGATGGCCGAGGAGACACCGCAGTTAGCAAGGGTGGAGCTGCTGCCGCTCTCGAAAGAAGCAGGTGCACTTTCGCTCATCCCGGGGTGGGAGGAGGCGGGGCTGGCCAAGGGCTCTGCGGAGATGGGAGAAAGAAGGGAGACTGAGTTACACTGGTGGGCCTGCCTCAAGGACGGCGAGGAAGGTCGGCCATGCTGCCTCAGCCGCTCACTCCCAGCCCAAGTGCCTCAGAGCCCCACTCCCTGCTCTGTGCGTTACCTGAGGCTAATTTCAAATCCTTCCTCGACTTCCTCCTGCTCTCCATCACTCACAGTTCACATTTCCGCACGTGCTGTGCAAAGGCACGCCGATCTTAACATCAAATGTGCATGCACAAAGCACAATTAACACTTATATTTATGGAAAAAGAAACAAACTCACACCTGCACCCCCACTGTGGTGTTGTAGGAAGGATGCAGGAAATGTCTACTGCTTTTGAGTTATTCAGCCCACAGCACCATTTCCCAGTTATGAGAAACAATTGAGCATTATCCAACCCAACTTTAAGGAAACAATGTAGCAGATACATTAACACAGAACAGGCAAAAAAAGAAGAAAAAGAAAAGCCCTGGCCAGTGTGGCTAGTCGGTTAGGCACCCTCCTGTCCTATACATCAAAGGGCTGCCGGTTTGATTCCGGGTCAGGGCAAATGACCAATATATAGGGGGCATGCAAGAGGCAGCCGATTGATGTTTCACTCTCACATCAATGTTTCTCTCTCCCTCTCCCTTCCTCTCTCTGAAAATCAATAAAAGTATTTTTTTTGAGGGAAAAAAGGAGTAGAAGAAAACCAAGCATCATCTTCACAGAAGGATGATTACCCACAGAAGCTGCTAAGTCCTATCAGAGCAGATCCGTTTTCCTTATGTTTGGCACTTTTAAAGAGTTACAAACACAATTCAGACTAAGACTTAAAGTAGGAAAGACTTTTCAGCTTAGCGTATAAGCTGTGCACAGGGCTTCATTGTCGCGGGTTATCTGAAAGTCAAGGCTTCCCCCTTGGCGCTCAGGGGGGATGTCCCCGGCCAGACTGCTCAGAAAAGCCTCAGCATATTTCCAAACTGGAACTGGAATTTATTCTGGGAAGGGCGGGTTCCCAACTGGAGTTCTGCTCACCACCAAGGGGGCCCATATCGCGGACATGAGCACCGTAGCGCCCTCCTCAGGAACAGCCAGCACCACACAGCCCTGGCTGTGAGCAAGGGGGGCGTCAGAGCCAAGGCAGCAGGAAGGCCCGTGGCGGCTGAGCCCTGTGCCCACCCGCACCCGCTGCGCCTGCCCGCCCGCCTGCCCGGTGCACAGAGCAGATGGATGCGGCACCTCAGACCCCAGAGCGCACATCCCTGTTTGCAGTCAGAGTGACAGGACTTACCGAGCGGCAGCCACTTTCTCCCGAAACAACTCCCTGTGAAAAGCTCTCCTACCAGAGAAGCTGTCCTTCCAATTGTCACAAGTGTTTTTGGTTAAACTGCTCATGTTTCTAATTAGCTTTTGTCATCCGTAACTGCTCCAGTGCCCAGAAGCCGGTGGGATTAACGGCTGCTTCTTCTGCTCTTTCTTTCCTTCTTTTCTTTCTCTCTCTCTCTCTCTCTCTCTAATACCTATCTTCCGCTGCCTTCTAGCAACAGAGTAAACTGTGTACAGAGCGGCTTTTTATGATTTAAACGTCAACGGCCGCCCAAGCGGAGTGAAGGCAGCCCCTGTGTG